ATGCGGATCGGATTCGGCTGCTGCTGATGGACACAAGCACAGGCCTTCTGACTGCAGGCTGGACAGGTAGGCAGCGGTTCCACAGGAACGGTCTTCTCTTTGTTTACCAGGAGCTGTGAACTGGCCATTGTACCGGGGTTTTTAAGCCCTGCCTCTTCATAAATCACTTGGCCACCAGAAAGGGCTGGTCTTGGAGAGCATGTAGTGCAGTGTCCTGCTCTTGGAGACACTTCTTAAGAAGGAACATTTTCTATTCTAAAGGTGTTCATTGAATTCTTCATTTTTTTTCCCTATTCAGTGCTTGCTTATTGCTGTTTATCATGAAGTAGTAGCTGCACAAGCCAGTTGTGTTTGGATACTAAAGGTGTTCATTGAATTCTTCATTTTTTTCCCTATTCAGTGCTTCCTTATTGCTGTTTATCATGAAGCAGTAGCTGCACAAGCCAGTTGTGTTTGTGGATGTAAGGTGTACCTACTGGTGAGGTAAAATGAAATTAGATGACAAATAGAAAACTGAAGTCTTTAAAGTCATCAGTCTTCACATTTCTGAAGGCATTTACAGACAATCTGGAAACGTTGTGCCTAAATGTATCAGCATGTGTGTGGTGGGGTCCATTTCTGAGGTCACACTGTTCATGTTGCTGCTCTCTGTCTTCCTGACCATTTCTCAGCACAGGTAAACTTCAGTTTTGTGAAAGTACCCTATTTTGTATCACTGTCTACATCTGAGATATTCATGCCACAACCCCTTATATCCCGTTTATCAGTGGATGGGAGTTGTGGCCTGCAGCCCAGCTGATTGAATCTACATTTCTAATCTAGAATGAGATGGCTCATGCCTGTAACTACCCATTTTCTTTGCTGATAATAAGCAGGGAAGACATTGGTTAGTGGCTTAAATTACAATATCCAGAGTAAATTAAATCAATTTCAGGAAGCATGTTTGAATAGGAGTACAAAGATGAAACTTTACTTACTCAGTTTCAACCTAAATAAATAAACCTTTTGTGTATTTTCCAGTATTGAGTTGAACAGGCATATGGTCCAGTTTAGTTTTGATCCTGCTCTGATTGAAATTCTCTTCCTGCACTAAAACTACTCTGTTTATGCCAGTTCAGCATTGCCAAAATAAAATTTTTAAATGGGAAGAGGATTAGGATGGAGACTGAGTCACACAGTGGATTCAGCTGGGAGGGCAGCAGTTCCAGGCTAGTTTTTCTGCCCCTCTAGTAGAATTGGAGCATGCTCTGCAGTCTTAGCCCAGCCCCAGAGCTTCTCACCGTGTGTGAAGTGGCATGTGGGGATGAGTGTCTGAAGAAAGACAGCTGAGCTCAGTTTGTCTGGCACCAGAGCAAATTAATCAAGAGAAAAAGCTGTAGGCCCTTGCATGTTCTCCCTGATTTTCTATATACACTGCACAGAATCAAACAAGTACAAAAAACGTTTTGTAACAGTGTTGAGGAAAAAACTTGATGTGCTGACCAAGTGCTTCTGGGCTTGTGCTGTATGGACAAGCAGTAGTTGAACATGGCCTGCATCTTCTGCAGAGCTAGAAATCAATCTAAGCAAACACAAAAAACCCTTGGAGGTTGAACAGATTTGTGGAAGGACCTGTACTGTTTGCTATGGATTTTTAATTTTTCTGAGTTCATCTAAAAGGAACTTCTAATTTGAATATAAAAAATAATTCAAAGTATTGGAAGCTTATCTCTGAGCTGGAAGCAGAGAGGGAATTGGAATTGGTTTCAGCACAGATGGATCTAATTCCCTGACTTTAAGGGAGTTTTTCACACAGAATCCTGATAAGTCTCTGCAGTGTTTGCAGATCAGTGGAAATAACTCTGGTCTGTAGGATACAGTTTTGAGTTTGTACCTTTGGAAAATCGGTCAGAAACTGGAAAACATGTTTAATAATCTGAATGTAGGCAACTGTTGTTGGCTGGGAAGAGTTATAAGCTTCTTCCCCTGCACCAGCTGGAATCTGCTTGTGATGCTAATAGGTGATCATAAAGTTGTCAAATACCACTTTGCAAAGTCACAGCAAATCTCAAGTTTAGTAGCTAAAAATTGACTATTATTTGTGCCTTTCCTTCTCTACTAGGTATATTTTCATGTGGAGCAACTCCTGGTGCCATGATGTGATTTTAATTAGCTATACAATTTGATTCCATGTTCTAGCTCTTGTCTCTTATGTAACTACTGCATCTGCAACCATGAAAGAATAAATATTTGTTAACTCTGGAGTGAAAATAAGTGAGTGAATTAAGAAAGTTGGTATTTCACATACCATTTTCTGAGGGGCACCAGCTTAAAGTTATTGAAAGTGTAGGGTAGGTTACATGCTACAGTAGTATGTTTCTATGGACATCTACGTACCTTTTAACAAAACAACAACAACAACAAAAAAAAACCACAACAAAAACAAACAACAAACCAAAACCAAATCCCAAACTACAAAACTTCAAGGTGGAGCTCTCAACTGATGCCTAATTTTACAATGATGACATCTTAATAGAACCATACAAGATTTTAGCAATGACTGCAAGTACTGTAAGTGAATGTATTACATAGAAATGAAGCTATGAATGGGGGAGATGTTTGGGTGGGCAAGGCATTAAAATAAAATTGTAAAGTAGAGGCTTTTTGTTTCTTTCTAGCTTTACAACACCAGAAGGCCCTGGCCCCCTTTCCCGGTGTTCAGACTGGGCAACTGCAGTGGAAGAAGATGAAATGAGGACCAGTGTTAACAAAGAAATTGCAAGGTACCTGTGGGTGTTTAAGATGAAGTGGGAAAAGGAGGGGAAATGGGAATTGTCTGGTACAATGTGCATTGCCTTTTATTTTTAACTTTACCATTGTAGTAAAATCAGACCCAGCTTAGCTTCCTGTCTGCTGCTTTTAGGGCAGCTTTGTCCTAAGTCCTTCAGAAATGACATAGCATACTCTGGAGAGTTGGTATGTATCACTAAATACAGTTGTTCCTTTTGGAACAATCCTTTCCTAAATCCCTTAGACTGGATTATTTTGAATGCCCTTTCACTCACTACTTTCTTTGCATATAATTGCTATAAAAAGTTTTTTAGGGAAAAGAAAGTCCTCAGATTTATTTTTAAGGGGAAAACTGAAACGTGTTCCATAGCAGAAAGGTGTTTACAGGATTTGGGGTGACTTCAAGACTGCTGCTTAGCTGAGAAGTAGAATCAACTGTGGGCTGTGACAGTGCTGCCTTATGTGTCCTCTTTGTGTCTATTCTTGATACAGTTTTGAACTCTTACAGATACAGAAGAAAACTCCTGATAAATGAATTTTCAAGAGAAAGGAAGTCCTCCTCTGGAAGGTAAGTTCAATTTCTAGTTTAGCTAAGAAAAATCTGGAAAATAGGTCTGAAGTTACACATGCCCCATTGTTGTTTCTGAAAATGCTCAGCTTGAAATAGTTCACCTTGAGTCTACTCTAACATCATCGTTCAGTAACATCACAAGCAAGCATTTGGAAAGTTTTAGCATGTTTCTTTTTAATCTTCTACAGGTGGTTTGTTTTCTAGTATTCCCAAACTTAAAATGTTTTTTCTTTAGTTCTGATTCAAAGGAATCTGCTATAACAGTAGAGTTTGAGACGGATGAAGTGGTTTTGATGAGAAGACAAAAACAGATAAATTATGGAAAAAACACAATTGCTTATGATCGATACATTAAAGAAGTTCCTAGGTAAGCTGTTTGAGGTTTTTTAAAACTGAATGTGCAATTGTAAGTCATACCTGTACTTTGTAAGCATATTAACACACTAAACTTGGTATCTACAGCATTCAAATAGAAGGCTTCTACAAATTAAGCCTTTTAAGACACTTTTTAACAGATAAGTGATACAGTCAAATGAGGCGTGAATTTTTTTTTCTAGTTGGTACATCAGAGATCTCTCCAAATTTCTCATGGTGCAGAAATGGTAGAGGAAGTTATTTCAGTGATGCTGATAAACTGGAAGAAATGAAGGTGCTTTTTGCAGTTCATTTTCTCATTAGTGAACAGAAAGACAATAGACAACGGTTTCTCTTAAGTTTGGAAAGTGGTGTATGCAGAAATTTCATGCTTAAGTTTTCACATCTATGAGTTCTAATACTTTTTCAAATTTGACAGAAAAACTGAACTGTTCATATCTGTTCACTTGAGTGCTGGAATTGTGCAGTAGTCTTTTCTCATAAATAATCACTTAGGCTCATTGCAACTCTGCAAATTCTGTGTGGCAGGCAATTGGTCTTAACATAAATCAGTCTCTAAAGCTATGATATGTCTGTGTGAAAAGCATTAAAGAATTTTTCATGTCTAATATCTGAATAGATGCCACCGTATACCAGGAGTTCATCCCAGAACCCCCAATAAATTTAAGAAGTACAGCCGTAGGTCATGGGACCAGCAAATTAAATTATGGAAAGTTGCATTGCATTCCTGGGATCCACCTACTGAAGAAGGATGTGATCTGCAAGATATGTATGTATGCAGTATTCCAAGATGCATTTATAGAAAATGTATAAAAATCTCATGTTAAAATAAAACCAAACAACTAAGAAAATCCCAGCATAGCCCTTTATGGAGACAAGTCAGTGATTGCTGAATACTTTAATTAGTTAGTTGTGCTTATTAGTGCTATTCAATTCCTTCCTGGAGCAAATATTTAATAGCTTTCTGGACCTAGTTGGTATGAGGAGACTTGCCCAGTGTCCTTGAAGGGCACACATTAATTATATCACTTGTTTAATGTATGTCCACAGGGTGAAATCAGAGCTCATTCTGCAGTGCTCTGTGAAGGAAAACGTCACATCAAGGCAGGCTGATTGTTTCAGAGCAGTCTGCAGCTTAATGTGTGGTGAAAGCAGTGCTGGGAAGCTCTCACTGATTGACACAGGTCTCATGAATATTGAGCTTGGACCAATACAGTGCACAAGAACCTGCCTCACAGCCTTCTCACTTGCTAGTTCAAGAACAGTAGTATAAATTCTTGTTTCTCAAGCAAAGAAGAGGAAAGAGGCACTTGTAAAATCATCTGAAAGTACTGCTAAAAGTGTGGCCACAAATGTTTGCAGTCCAAGCTGCTGTGGCATTCTGCTCTAGAAGATATAAGTAATGCAATAAACAAGCAATAAAACTGATCAGGGAGCATCCAAAATATAAATGTGGTACTAGAGAATGAAGGGACACAGATGTAACTAATTACTCAGGAAACAGTTTTGTGGTTATAAACTACTGCTTTTCTCCAACAGTGTTGCTGAATTTAAAACCAATATAGTGCAGCAGAGGGTTGTTTTCAGCTTCCTTTTATTTACAATCAGTGTGAGGGGAGTGGGCATTTCAGCCTGAAGCCTGCTGTATATCTTGGTGTCTTATCTTCAGATGCTGGGGTCTAGTTCTGTGTATAGTGCATATTATATCTTATGTTGCAAAACAGATTGATGGAAGCCTTGTCTGGAAAAAGAATTCCTTGCTCTTCCAGTTATATCTGTAATAATTTGTATTGAGGCATTGCTTGAGTGTTGGGTATTTGTCTTTGACAAGTCACCATACTCAATCTCACAACTTTAGTCCATGGCTGTTTGGCTGAATGGAATTGACCTGCTGTTCTACTTGGTCTCTGCAGTTTGCCACCACTGTCCCTATAATCTCTGTAGGTCTCATGGCACTTCTTTGGCCATCATTTTTGGAACTACACCTTCAAAGTTCAACTTACTACTAAAAAACTGAATGTGTTCTAAGCTGTGTGCTTTTGAATTGTTTTGCAGTAGTCCTGTTGACCTTGGTGAGATGGAGACAGAATCTGTCGGAAGCAATTCTACTGAATCTCAAACGAGCTGTCAAGATAATGATGTAAGCATATCTCATTTACATAAATATTTGTTAATAATTGTCCATGATTTAGAGTAACATGCAGAGCAGCCTAAACACATGAGGAATTCCATCATGTGCTGTGTTTAGGGACTATTTATAAAGCTGAGCAATCTTTGAATTCAGACATTTCCCATCTGTAGCCGATGTCTGAGTGTAGAGTTAGAACCTCAGCAACCATCTCAAATGACAGATACATTTTATGTTGCAGGCTATGAAAAATGTTGCAGGCTATGAAAAATGAGGTATCTGTTCAAAGCATGTCAGTTATGAACTGTAATGTACAATATCAATAGTAGTTTAGATTGCAATATCTAATGTTAAAATAGCATGTCATTTTCTTGGCACACTTGGACTTTTTGAAGTAAACTTTTTGTTTCCAGAAAGCATTTATTACAGCTGAGCAGTAACCTGTAGTGAAGATCTAGTAATGTTTTTCTTACTGGATTTGTTTCCCTGATGAGTATAGAATCTGTATCATGTTTCCATGTATGCATATACAGATCATTAAAACATTTGCAAGAAATCTTGTGATTTGGTTGAATGGGCAGAAGCCTTCATGTAAGTCTCTTTAATCTTAAGACTAGCCTTGAGTTTTTGTATGGCATTTAAAGTGTTTTTAAGCCTCTGTTACAGGGTGTAATGAATTACAGAAGTGAAATGAATTATTGCATAACTAAACCTGTTTTGAACTGCCAATTATTAACTGACTTTGTATTCCAGGATACCTGTTCTGGCACTCCTACCAAAATTAGACACGTTGACTACCAAGCAGAAGGTGAATTTGACTTGGAAGTGTGTCTGAGTGAACCACTTAAAGATTTCAATACTGTGAGTTAAGTAGTCACAAGCAAACTGTTTTAGAGGAAGTTTCTTTTAAATGTGAGAGATTAGCTTAATTCACAAACTGTTAATTGTAAGAAAGCATAAGCAAAGTTCAAGACTTCTCAAAGTTGTGGTTGGTCTATGTATTCTCTGGACCAAAGTTATGTAAAAATACAATTAAGTTGTGTGACTTCTTTTTAACTTTTAATTTATGTATATCAGATTTTTTTATAAAACCTTTCAATATTAAAAATAGCCAAAGGCAGGGCTATCCTTAAGTAATTCTAAATAGTTAAGCAAGATCTTAATGATTTCCTCCCCCCCATGTTATGTTCATAGCAAAGCAGGGAGATATTTTTTGAGCATCTGTATGTTAACTTGCTTTTCCAACTGGTTCTTCTACAAAGATCTGACTTAATGTAATACAAGTGGTAGCAGAACCACAGTGCTGATTAGTACGAGTAGACTAATCTACTGCAGTTATTTGCTGAAAGATGAACTGCCTTATATTATTTAAGAAAAAAATAAAATTTGCAAAAATGTTTCAGAAACAATTGGAAATCAAATACTCTCATGTAATTGGAGGTCAGTGTGGTCAAACCTAGGCAGTAACACTTTAAGAAGTAATAGTAGCCTGAATTTGAAATTTGTAAATAGTCATGAGTCATTTGATAATATAGTCAAGAAAACAATGTCTAGGGAGAGTGCTTGATTATTTTTAATGTGCTGATTTTAAATGTAAAACTGTTGTAAATGGTAACACTGTACAGATTTTGTGCTGAAAGCAGTTAATGTTTTTTGTATGGGATTTGCTGGAAAATAAATGAAATTTCATTTGCTTATGGCTCTTCAACTTAATTTCCTACTAGTGATGTTCCATGGATAACAAAATGCAGGAAAATACTGAAAGCCATGTATCTGTGACTGACGCTGGGCTAGGATTCGTGTCTTAGCATCATCCTCTTGACTGTGAGGGAGACCTTAAAAGTTAATATGTGCAGCCCACTGGAGTGAAGTTAAGACTTGGTTGTAAAGGGATAAGCTCCTTAGATACAGTTTAGTAGATGTCCATTAGCTGGTTACCAAGTTCTGTTCTTTAGAAAAACTGTTAGAAGATCTAGGTGGACACTTCAGTCCTGTTTATTGTGCAGGACCTTTTGTTAAAGTCATCTCACCTGGCTTTATCTTGAAAATGGAGTTTTTTCCAGGTAAGGCAGCAAAGTCATAGTTCATCTTTCTTGCTAGCTGGACCAAGCCCTCTCTGCCCTCACTAGATTGTTTTTTTCATGACACATTTTCTGGTTGTGCTGTTCTTGATTTTGTTTTTTAATATTTTTTTTGGTAATGCCTAATTGTAACTTGAGACACAATTTGCTTTGGAACCTAAGAAAACTTAAAGCTTAATGCTTTTCCGTCTCTGGCACTTTTCTATTATTAACTGATGATACTAAACTTTTAAAAGACTGTTGTGTTACTTCAGAATGCTTTGAAGGTTAGTAATGAGTAACATGAAGCCAAGAACAAAACCATTCGTATCTTAAAGAAGCTACAAATAATTCACGCAGCTGAACATCAGTGAAGAGGAAAGTACTGATGTTAAATGATGTGTTTCTACCCAGTGTAAAATTAGTAAGGTGGTATTTATGTAGAAAGCTACATATTGCATACCTGGAAATTAGTCTTTTCTGTCAACTTGATTCTGTCTTCATACCTTGGAGGTGGGGGTTAACAGTCGACACTCGGCTTGACCTTGGGCTGTATCTGAATTTTGCACAAATGAAGTGACAGAATTTTTCAAGGGTATACCCAGGCTGTTCAGGGTATCTTAAATGAACTTCAGTCCTGAGGTATTAACAGATACATGTAATCTGATCTGAGTAACATGAGCCATAAAATACCACCTTAAATAATCCTGGAGTGAATCAGGAACTTTTAATGCAAAGAACCAGAACTGGGCAGTGTTGGAATCTCTGTGGTAGAAGAGAATTAGATAGGATTCTTAAGGGGGGCAGGGGGTGTTGGTGTGTTCATCTGTACCTGGGTATGAGAACCCTCAGTAGAACGGTGTTTTTAAAAGAAGTTTTTCTACACCATTGTAGCTAGCCAAATGGGTTGGGTCAGTGGAGTATATATTCAGAAGGTTGTTTAGAGGCTTCCAGAGGGTGAGGCTACTTATACCTGGTTTCTGAATAAGAATTATCCACTGAGATAGCTAGAGGAGATACATACATTTCAGAGCTTACTGTACAAGAATTTGTACTAGTCTGAAAAATGTTCATATCTCTGAAAATCGGGTTTTTTATTGGGCTTTTTCCATAACTCCTAAAAATATTCATTCCAGAAAGCATCTAGGTATGGTATCTGAGACTGTTAATGTGGTTCCTACTAAGAAAGTAATACTTGAATGAATACTATCAAAACAAAAAAACCCAGTAATCTGGGTTTTCTGACAGTCCATATGATTTTGTGACTTGTGGTCTTTGGAATCTGTACTGGAGGAGGAAATACAGGCGTCTTTCTCTGACGTATAGATTCAGGTATGGGGGAATGTGGGGAAAACATTGAAGAACCATAATACTTATGCAGAATAGAAGGGTACTAGGCAAACAACTGAGATTAGTGCTTGGCTGTTACAATGGAATGTACAACAAATATTTCTTCTTTAGCAAATGTCTCAAGATGCTTTTAAATTTCTCCAGAGTAACTTCTCAGTGGTTACTTCAAACTTATGTATTGAGACAAATCCAACTAAGCCACTGCTGCTCAGCTGAGATTTTTAGTACAAGTTCTGGGGTATGATCAGCTTGCTGTCAGCATTGCATGCAACCTGCCCTCTGAGCAATCCTCCTGCACATCCAGCTGTCTGCCCCATTGACTTGAGTGGTGCTTTTCAATGTGCTGCACTCAGTGCCATCTGTATCCCATCTTTTCACCTTTCAGAGCTGTGCTATATCACTTCTGCTTCAGAATGTAAGGTGCTCCAGTACTGTTCCTTTTTCTGTACTAATTTATCCTTGTTTCCCTCTCATTTGCTCCAGCTAGCTTACAGATAACTTCACCGTGCTGGGTTTGTTAAAAGCAAACCTTAGATGCTGTTCAGCTCTTCAGGTCTGTACTGTTCAGCA